TATCCCTCCCTCCCTTCTCCTTCCCTCCATCTTTTTCTCTCTCCCCTCCTTTTACTTTTCCTGGTTTAGTGATAATCCTGTCAGTAGGGATATTGCTTTAGAACATTTTGGACTTTCCTGCTTTAGGATTATGCATGGTGGTGGTGAGAGGAAAAAAAATCTGGAAAGAGTGAGTGTGAATGAGAGAGAAGAGAGAATGACTCCTTTGTCACCCGGGTCCTCCAGCTCCAGCTTCCACCTGGGTGGCTGGAGGGAGTCTGTTTCCAGCGTGGCCTTGACCCCTGCTGGCTGTGGACTGAGGCGTTGAGGCTCTGCCCGAGTGGATTCCACAGACAGCTGCCAGCTGGACTGATGTCAGCATCAGGCCTGATTAGGATAAAACCACTATTTTAAAACTTTAGTTATATTTGTCTCAAAATTTTATTTATCACAAAACCAATATTATAACAAATAAGAGAAATGTTGAAAAAGAATAAAAACCCACATTTTAATTCCTCTACCATTCAACCCAACTACTGTCCTCTAATCATAACTTTTGACAATTAAGAGCTTGTCAGGGCAGAATGGTGCCCTGGGGGAGGTGTTTACTTAGAAAGGCTCTGGAAGGGTCTGTTCCTCAGCCTGCTGTGAGGGCCTGGGGCAGAGACGGGGTGGGGTGGGAGGGGTGGGAAGGTGTGTGGGTTTTTGAGCCTGATGGAGAAACGGTGCCTAAGGGTAGTTCTTACAGAAGTAATCTCCCCAATTGCACTCAGAGCCTGGGCCATGGAAAAGTGTCTCTCGCTTGTCTCTGCAGCCACCTTTATAAGAAGAATCCGGATGTGACCAAAATCCGGAAAGGAAAACCTCAGCAGCTGCTCAGAGTGGAGGACCACGATTTCACCATGAGGCCTGCCTTTGGAGGTAGGACTGTGTCCTTCCCTTGGCCTGGTGCGGCCTTGTCCCCAAGGTTACCTGCTTGCTCTGTCCCCTTCTGTCAGGCACTCGCCTTCCCCAGGGTGGTTTCCCACTCACAGTCAGGTCGGCCCTGCGCGGCTTCCAGAGTCAATAATTTTCCAGGGAGGAAAGAGCTGGAAGGGAAGGAGTGGAGCGGGCCATTGACTGCAGAGGAGCCCGTGTGACTAACCTGTTTATGTTCAGAAAGGACAGGCCCTGCTGCTGCCAACTTTCCTAAAAAAACAAGAGCCGGTGGGAGAGTCTGGACACAAAATGGCTCCCTGGCTCAGGCACCCCATGCTCAGCTGGAAATTTGAGGTTTTGAGGGGGCCACCTGCTTTTCAGTACAGCAACAACAATTTAGCAGAAGCGTCATGACAAAGTCCCTCTGCAAACTTGTCCCCAAGGAGCTTCCCTGCTTTGGGGGTCAGGGAGGAGTGGCATGGCCAGTGGCTGTCCCTTTCAGGAACTGGGGAAATGCCACAGGAGGGCCAGGAGGGGTGGGGAGCACATCAGCAGATATGAGATATGGGGCCAACGCCCTGCCTTGTGCATGTGGGGAAACTGAGGCCTGGAGCATTTCAGCTGATGGGCCCTGGCCAAGGCAGACCCAGGCAGGCTGGCTTCCATGTCCCTTGATCTTCTCTTAGGTCCCAGCATTCTCCTGGGGCAGCAGGAAAGAGGAGGGGTGACCTGCGGGCAAGTCAGCGGCCCTCTCTGAGCCTCTGTTTGCTGGTTTGTAAAATGGGGACAGTGACCCCTACATCTGGGGTTGTCAGGATTAAACGAGATAATGCATGTAAAGCCCCTAGCACATCCCCTTTCACGTCCTCTTGGAAAAACCCAGCTGTCAGGCTTTCCTCTTGTGTGCCTGTTAAGAGATTAAGACATTCATCCCAGAGGCCTCTGCATTTTAAAAGGCCTCAAAGCCTCCCCCTCATCCCCTGAGCTCTGACACCTGCCGAGCAAAAGGAGAAAAGTGGGCAGATTACAGCCTGTGCCTCTTCCTGCCCGTGAGCATTGCTCACCACCGGCTGGTTGGGGTCAGGAGGCCGCATCTCTCTGGGAGTTGTGGTTCTCTGGGAGTCTGCCATGAGTAATACTGCTGAGGAATTTTATAAAAATTAAGTTTTGCTGAATAAGCAGTTCTAAAATAGCTGTATCTGTTCCAGGAGGTTCAAGCAAGATGTCCCTGTAAGCAGAAAACTCCAACTTGCCTTTTTTTTTTTTTTTAAGACAAATTAAAAAAAAAGTTTTTTTCCTTTTTCTTGATTTTTAGAGAGAGGAAGGGGGAGAGAGAGAAACGTTGATGTGAGAGAGAAACATGGACCAGTTGCCTCCCTCACGTGTCCCAACCTGGGGATCGAACCCCCCACCTTTTGTTGTAAAGGATGACGCCCCAACCAACTGAGCCACACCAGCCACGGCTCCACCTTTCCTTTCTTGTCATGCCAGTTAAGGTGCAGAGGATTAGCTAAGTGGCTAGAACAATAATAAACAATAGTATTAATGAGAATGAACACTTTTTTAGTGATTCCTCTGTGCCAGGTACCACTTGAATCAAGGTGCTTACACACACGATTTTGTTTTAGGCCTCACAACTACTGTGTGAAGTAGATACTGTTATTATCCCTAGATGGGGAAACTGAGGCACAGAGCGGTTAGGTGACTGACCCAGGCCACACTGCTGCTCAGGTTAGGCCCTCCTTCCTAGCCTGGCCTCTTTCTTGTCCCCTCTACCAGTCTACCCCTCAATGCAGGGCTCACATATCCACTAGGCAGAATAGTCATAGCACTTGAAGGCTCACAGACGAAATTCTTGGGGCCCCTGAAAATATTTTATTTTAATTTATTTTAATTTATTTTAAAATCAGAAGAAAAAGAGAAATTTTAGGTAGAAGAAAATGTTTTTATATATATTCCTTTTTGGTACTGATATAGTTGTAAAACATGATTTTTAATATTTTTTATGGAAGAAGAGGCCCATGAAGGCGAAAATGCCTAGAGGCCCTAAATAGTCCTGACATGGCCCTGACTTAATGCACAATTTTGTGGGGCAGGTGTGTGTGTTGGGGCGTGGGTGCTATTCTGAACAATGTTGCTTTCTTTTGGATTTATTATTTTTGCTTATTTATATTTTGGCTTTCCTATTTTAGTTTTAAAAATGCATATTCTTACTATTTTTTGGTGGTTCCCCAGGAAACACCGTGAATCCTTGGCTTATCATACCAGTGTGTTAATTATCGACTTTTACTATTCTCTGAACAATGCAAAGACCTCAGAACACTTTTACTTCATTTATACCCCTCCCTACTTAAATATTGTCTTTATTTTTTCAATCCCACAATACATTATTAGTATTGTTCTGTGCAGTCCATGCTCACTTAGAATTCTGCATATATTTACCATTTTTGTTCTTTATTTGTTCTTGCATATCCAGCTTTCATTCTGGGATCATGGTCCTTCTGCATGAAAAACACCTTAATTTAGGGCAGGATGCTTGTTGGCAAATTCTCTCAAATTTATTTGTCTGAAAATTCTCACATTCATTCTTGAAGTGTCAGTGGGAAAGAAATGACATATGTCTTAATTTCAAAAATGGATAAATTCCTGATAAGGTTTCCAGGACCATGTGAGGAGACTAATGGCAGAAAATTTAGGAACCAAGCAAAGCCCTTGGCTGAGCATGTATTTCCCTTAGGCTGCCTTGAACCTGTCACCTCACTGGCCATACTGCCAGCAATCCCACCAGTGACTTCTATCAGCTCACCAGCTCCCTCTCCTAGAGCAGAAACCCCACAGCTATGTTAAGCACCTAAGACATGAAGGCCTTGTTAGTTTAACTAGACCATTTCCTTGCTAACACCTGCTAGAGCTCAGTTCCACTCAAGACATAAAATTGTTCACCAAAGGAGGAGATATATCAATAATTTGGAAGTATTTCTCCCGAAACCAGGTTGGGAAGGGCCACATAATGGAGAGTTATGGAGAGCTGGGAGAGTAAACCTCCAGCTTGGGGCAGGTCAAAGGCAAGGTCAGCTCCATTGTGCTCAGGCCAAGGAGGGCAGGACTGTAGGTTCTGTTCAAGCTGGAGGTATGAGTCCCCCAGAATGCAGCTCTGGAGCCTCCTATACACACAGTTTGTTTACTTCCAACAACTCAGGTTCCCTGCAAACTTTACCTGCACCCCCAGGTATCTCCAGGGCACTGACACCACCCTCCAAGGCTTTATCAAATTTCTCTTAGAAGGAGGCCTGAGCTGTGGAGGGCAAGGCAGGCCCCGAGAACAGAGAGGCACAGTAACGGGTATCAAGCAAGCTGATATATTTTATCTGTAAAATGTCCTTTGCCAAAACCAGCTCCTGGTTAAACACTGTGCACTTTATCTGAAAACCAGGCCATCGAGAAGTGAGTCCAAAGAGGGTGATGGCTATATTGTTTCTTCCCTTTGGGATGTTGCAGGTCACACGGCGAGTGGGTCAAGCAGAGCACACCTTCCACGAGAAGCAGCACCACCAGGGGTTAAAAGCTCAAATATCAGGCCCACAAAGGGTCCAGAGGATGAGAAATTTACCTGCCTACTTCCTTGATGGCAATGTTGGGAGAACACAGCCCTGTGCAAGGGTGTAGTGGTCTGGATACTGGGAGAGGGCCCTGCCAAGTTGCTGGCAGACTCTGCCTCGTGCTGCAAGGCCCTCAGGAGAAAATCAGCCCTGAGAAGGGGTCCCCCTCCCCACACCTAATATTCCACTTCTGGCGCCTTCAAAGCACCCTGGAGACTGGAATAAAAAGAGAATATGGCTGTCAGAGCAGGGATTTCTCCTGGGCCCTGACCTAAGTCATCAGTTGAGGATCCCAGGAAAATAAAAATATCTGAGAGGGAAAAAATAAAAAGATAAAGTATTGTACTCATGTGCTTTTGTGTTAAGACCACAGAAAATATCCACAAAATCCCACCAGCCAAAATCCCAAATCTTTAATGGTGGGATTACAAGTATTAGCAAGCCTACGGGTGAAGTTTGGGGAGCATCAGTGAGCCCATCCAATGCCCTGGCCCACCTCCACGAGGACCTCCTGCCCCTGCATTTGTGCTGAATCAGGATTGAGCCTTCTAGTTCCTACTCTGTCAGGATCTCTGGTCCTCCTCTGCTCATAGCCAAAGTCTTGGTCTCTCCAGTCCCTCTCATTCCCTAGAAACCAGATTCCCCCTGCCACCCCAAGTTCTCCCCACTCAGATGACCGTGGGTCAGGATGTTCTGGTCCTGCACTCCTTGGCCAGGGCTCAGGGACCCAGGACAGCGGGGCTGGCCTCTGGACAATGCCCTCTCCCCAGGAGGCCCAGTCCAGCTGCCACCTCTCTCTCAAACACATTTTTCTCCTGTGAGTGTAGCAGCATTCATTAATACGCTTAAAAGACACAGGTTTTTGGTTTTCTCCATTCTAGGTTTTTTTTAAATCTAAGAAAATTTTATGGAAGCATAATATATGTACAAAAAAGTGCACAGATTATAACTGTACAATCCTACTAAGTTATTGCAAAGCGAACCTACCAATGTAACCATCACCCAGACCAAGAAATAGAAGAGGAACCCGCAGCTAAACACGGCTTTAGAATTCCTGTCACAGGCCCCATGAAACTGAGTGCCGAGCTTCGGTGCTGTGTGTTTTCGTGCTTCTCATCAGAAGTGTCCTGAAAGGATTTCAAAACCTCGCCCAGTATCATCTTCCACTGCGATCTAACTGCACAGAGATCTCATTTCCCACAGTGTCGCAGCTTCTTCAGGGCAGGACCCCCGGCTGGTAGGTGCTCTGTCAGCAGAGTGAATCCAGCCCTGGGCACGCAGGTGTCCCAACCCTGCATCAGAGGCTTTTGGGCCTCATTCTTAGGCCTCATTCTGTCCTTTTTAGGTGTCACAGGAGTTCCAATGACCAGGGTCTCCACTCAAGCACTAGAGCAACATTAGTAGCACTGCCCTACAGATAGTCCTGGGATTAGAAGGTCCTATTCCAGCTCTGTGACTCATGCAACAAGCATGGGTTAAACATCTACCTTGGCCCAGGAAAGGCACGTAAGGCAGACACAGTCCCTGCCCTCGTGGAGAAAACTCAGGCACCCAACACGTCGGGAAGTAGCAAGAAAACCCTCATGGAATTTGAACCACTGCCTCAAGCTCCCCTGGGAAGGGTGTTGGGGCTGTCTCCCAGCCCGGTGGTGGAGAGGAATGTGCCTTAACCAGCTATGTTTGCTCTTCTGCAGGCCCTGCCATCCCGGTGGGTGTAGATGTGCAGGTGGAGAGCCTGGACAGCATCTCGGAGGTGGACATGGTACGCAGTGCCCTTGGTGGGGTGGCCTGGAGTGTGGGGTCTACAGGCTGAAGTTCTGTGAGAGCCTGTGGCTGGCTGGGCTGCGCTGGTGCAGGCTGTGCTCAGGTGAGCCAAGCCAGAGCTGGCAGGAATAAAACTGGGACTTGGAAGCAGGCCCAGGTACAGTAAAATCTAGAGCTGAGACTCTCAAGCTTCATGCATAAAAGTAACTTAGGGACTTGGTTCAGTGCAGACCCCTGGGCCCCACCCTATGCTTTGATTCAGGCTCTGGGAGTGAGGCCCAGGGCTTTACACTTGGAACATGCTCAAGTGATGCGAGTGGTCAGATGAACCGCACTTGGAGGAGAATGGGATGTGACAGTTTCAGACTGAAATTCTGTAAGGAAGGAAGCTAAGCTATTTCTGTCTGGCCTCGCCCCCCCCCCCCCCCC